CATGTTTCAAGTCCGCCTTGAGGACTGCTCAGGAATGGCTGACTACATCGCCAAGGTGCAGACCATTCATGGTGAACTCAAGGAGCTGGGTATAGTCTTCCCCGAACAAGCCCCTGCAGCCGCCCTTCTTGTTGGTCTCTCCTCGGCATATGAAGTCACGAGGAAGATGCTCCTCACGCTCTCAGCGGAAGACCTCACCTTTGCTAAGGTCTCCACCGCATGCCTCTCTGCCGAGAAAGACTCCACTGCTCAGGCCAAGGCACACGCCATCCGTGCTCCCATGCCCCTAGCAAGTGTTGCAGCGGCCCTTGCCTCGGCGCCTTTCCAGCGCAACCGCTTTCCTCCGTGCACCTACGTCGTCAAGTATGGCAACCGCAAGGGACAAGTGTGTGGTGGCACTAACCACCCCCTTGCCACGTGCTTCAAGAAGAAAGACGACGAGTGGTATGCCATCCACGGGGTTGACAAGAAGCCGCCAAACTGGATGCGCGCTCGTAAGGCCAATCTCGTTGAGGTCCAGGACCCCTCTTCGGCTAGTGCTAGTGACAGTGCTCCTGTTGATGTGCGTATCAACCTGTTGTTTCCTGGCACTGCCATGATTAATGAAGCCACTTCCCAGTACATCGACTCATCACAGGCACCACAGTACATAGAGTTCACACTCGACAGTGGGGCCACTCACACTGTGCTCAAGGAGACACTCTCCTTCAAACCCTATCCAGCACCTATCCCTCTCTTGGGAGCTGACTCCAGCTTCACCACCCTAGCCAAGGGCACCTCCACAGTCCCATGCCCAGCCTTCCCTTCCGGCACCGTCACTGGCATGTGCGTGCCTTCACTACGCCACAATCTAGTGGCTCAAACAGAAATTCAGAAAGCAGGGCTACGCACCATCTTCTCGGAGAATGAGGACCACTGCGACATCATTGACCCACTCACCAACAAGGTCTTGGCCCGCTTCACCCTCAATAGCAGCGGCCTCTACACGCTACGCGTTCCTCTCCCACAGGTTTCAACCACCCAAGCACAGGCTCCCATCACACCATGCACATGTCGCAGCCTCTCCAACCCGACCATCCTCTATCATCATCGGTTAGGGCACCCAAACTTCCGCACGCTTGCTGACATGGCCTCCAAGAAACTTCTTCTCGGCCTGCCAGCCACACTTCCTCCACCACCTGACTCACCCGCTCCCACGTGCCTTGATTGCACCAAGAGCAAACTGCGCCAACAGCCCCACACTGCCTCACCCACAATCGCAGCGGCACTACTGGACCTAGTGCACATGGACGTCTGGGGCCCTGCCCCTGTTCTTGCACGAGGTGGATATCGCTACTTCCTAGTTATCGTGGATGACCACTCACGATACGTCTCTGTTCACCTCCTCCACACTAAGGCTGAGGCTCCAGAGGTCATCATGGCGTGGGTCAAGCAGGCACAGACCACCTTTGACCGCAAGGTCAAGCGCCTTCACTCGGATGGGGGGGGTGAATTTTGCAACGACAAGCTTAAAGCCTTTTGCTCCTCCGAAGGCATCCAGCAAAACTTCACCCTCCCTGACAGCCCTCAACAGAACGGCATAGCTGAGAGCCGCAACCACACTCTAGTGCAGATCACTCGGTGCCTCCTCAGCCACTCCAACGCTCCACACTCTCTCTGGGGATACGCTCTCTACCACGCCGCCCTCCTCTACAACCTTTACCCCCATCCGCACCTTCCCGACACCACTCCAACCACACTCTGGCTCGGGAAAACGTCCACTGCTCGCTCTCTTCGCGTTTGGGGATGCACCGCCTATGTCCTCCTCAACCCTCAGGCTCGACGCCAGAACGGTGGCAAGCTCGGTCCCAAGACTCAGACGTGCATCTACCTTGGGCACAACGCCGACTCACCTGACTACCTCTTCCTCAATCCCTCCACTCAACAGTTGGTCAGGAGCCGCGACGTTGTCTTTGATGAGACCCGCCCATTCTACTCCCCTTCGGGACGGGACCCTCTCCCTGATCCACCCTCCCTCGTTTGGGCAGACTTTGACGCGCCTCCCGACCTCCCGCCTGCTCCTGCCCCCTCACCTCCTCCCTCTCCTGCCATCCCACCATCTCCCTCTGAGGTCTCTGACCCGGCCTCACCGGTGTCTTCGGCGGCTGCTCCGCCCCCCCCCTCACCTTCCTCACTTCCCGCTGCGCCGCCCCCTCCGAGCGCACCTATCACCTACCATCGGCGGTCCCACCCTCCGGCCCCACCTCCTCCCCCAGTTCCCCCCACCACAGAGGAACCCGCTCTCCCACAGTCGCCCGAGCTGATCACGTACCGCCGGCGGCCCATTCCCCCACCCAAGCCTCCTAAGTCACCCTCTCCGACACCGCCTGCCCCGCCCTCCTCACCGGTGGCTCATGGCACCCGCTCCCATCGCGCTGCTCTTCCACTCGCAATGGTTCTTCGATACACAATGATCACACCGCCTCCTCCTGCTGGGGGGGATGTGCCCTCTACCCTTCTAGAAGACAGGCATGAGGAGCTGTGTGATCTCCATGCAGTCATTCCTCAGCTCTCACACATCTTCCCCGATATCACTGGCTCACCCTCCCTCAACCTCGCGGAGAACCCGACCATCCCTATCCCTCTCACCGTCCAAGAGGCTCTCTCAGGCCATCATGCTGCCGAATGGCGTGCTGCCATGGACGCGGAGATTGCAGCATTCACTCGCAACCACTCTTTCGATGACGAGACTCCACCTCCAGGAGTCAACATCGTCGGGGGCAAGTGGTTGTTCCGTGTAAAACAGCTCCCAGACGAGGCACCGGTGTTCAAAGCGCGTTACGTAGCCAAGGGCTTCACCCAGCAGCGGTACCGCGACTTCGACCTAATCTTCTCCCCCACATCCAAACCTCCCACCATTCGAACGCTCATGGATGTTGCAGCTCGAGAAGACTTTGAGATCAAATCCATGGATGCCTCCTCCGCTTTCCTACAAGGACGTCTCAAGGAGACAATGTTCATGGACAGACCAGAAGGCTTCCCAGGAGAATTCTCTCCCAACACTGTCTGGAAGCTGAATCGCCCCGTCTACGGCCTTAAACAAGCCCCTCGCGAATGGCACAACAAGGTGAAAGAAGTCCTCCTCTCCCTGGACTTCCACCCCTCAACTGCTGACCCGACTCTCTTCATCCGTCGTCATTCTGAGCCATTCTACATCCTAGTCTACGTGGATGATTTTATCCTCGTTGCCAAGGACTCGGCCCAAATGACCTCAGTCCAGGCAGCCCTGAGCAAGGCCCTCCAGATGAAAGACCTTGGTGACCTCAAGCACTACCTAGGAATGGAGATCACTCGTGATCGCAAGGCTCGCACCATCTCACTCTCCCAGGAGTTCTACATCGACAATGTGCTCAAGCGGTTTGAGATGGAGCTGTGCACACCTGTTGCCACCCCGCTGCCGCTGCAACACCTCCTTACAGCTCCTGCTGTACCCACACCAGAGGCCTGCTATGAGCCATACCCGGAACTTGTTGGGTCCCTCATGTACGCCATGATGTGCACCCGACCGGACTTGGCCTACCCAGTCAGTGTTCTCTCTCGTTACGTGGCCCCGGGTCGCTTCACTAATCTTCATTGGAAGGCAGCAAAGCGGGTGCTGCGCTATCTTAAGGGCACAAAGTCCCACGTTCTCACACTCGGTGGGCTCTCCCCTCCTCGCCTGGAAGGTTACACAGACTCCTCCTGGGCTGATGACCAGACCGACCGGCGCTCCTCTCAGGGGTACTGCTTCACCCTCGGGAGCGGAACTGTCAGTTGGCGCTCCACCAGGTCGTCTGCAGTCTCCCTCTCCTCCTGTGAGGCGGAGCTCTACGCAGGCACCATGGCTGCTCAGGAGGCCCGTTGGCTCACCTTCCTACTCCAGGAGCTTGGCTTCCCTCAGTCAGCCCCCACCCTCTGGTGTGACAACCAGAGTACCATCCACATCTCTCAAGACCCTGTGTATCACACCCGCACCAAGCATATTGAACTTCGGCACTTCTTCATTCGTCACCTTGTGCAACAAGAGCAGCTGAAGGTGGAATACGTGGCATCTGACTGCAACCTGGCTGACCTGTTCACCAAGCCCCTTGGGAAGGTTCCCCACCATCGTCTCCTTGGCGCCATGGGGCTCTGCGCTCCTCCTTCTCCGCCATGAGTTCGATTGACGCCTCAGGGGGGGTGTTGGTGTTAGGCCCCAATCTCACATTTTGTACTTGTACTTTTATATCCTAGTTTAGTGTAGTTTGCACTTTGTGTTTGGTTGGGTGTACACCCACATCCCAACCAAACCTAAATGTAATCTCCAAGCAATCTCCAACCCACCAATTGGAGATTGCCTTGGGATTACCCTTGATTCCCTAGGATTGCCTCCTGATTCCCTCCTCATCCCTACCTTGCTCATTCCGGATGTACTTAAAGAGCTTTGAGCTCACTACTATAGTATCGATTCTAAGCTCAAGTTCTGACAGCTGCAGCACCTCAAAGCTGAGGGCAGGGCTAGCCAACCTTGCCAAGCTAGCAATTGAGGCCACATGTTGCACATGTGGGCCAGGCTGGAACAACAGCCTACATGGCAGCATGTGGCACACCATAGGAGCCAACAAGGTGAGTATGGGATGGGTGGACAGATGGTAATGCCAACTGTGACCACACTTCACTGTGGGTGAGTGTGGTGGAGTGTGGGAGTGTCATGTTCGGCATAATGAGAAGAGAAGGTGCTGCCGATGAGAGTTGAACCCGCGACCACTAAGACCAAAGGTACCCACTGGGACATTCTTGCTTCCACAACAGAGAACATGCCATCACCTACCATCAAATGCCATCCCATGCAAGGTGCAAAGAACGTCATTGTTTTTCAAAATCTGACTGTAGAAAACGGTATCGTTTAGGAATCTCTGAGCGTAGACGACCATAAAAAGGTCATGCGGGATGGAACGAGCGAGGGCCAAGGGGAAGGAAGAGTGAAACAGAAGGAGTCTCACAGATCCTTGAGATGGGGCAATGCGAGGAGAGCCGTGGGCAGGGAGCCGACGAGGCTGCACTCGCTGATGACGCTGTGGGAGTAGAAGGATGGAAGGGAGGGAAGGAGAATTGAAGTTGAAACAGATAGTGAATTCACAGATGCGAAGGGAATGGAAGCAGAGGTAAGGGGACAACGCAATGACATGCTTACAGTGCAATGACATGCTTACAGTTCAATGACATGCCCGTCGTCATCACATCGCACGGCATACATGCTGTCGCAATCCCTGTCCCTCATCCATGTGTTCCTATTGTAGACGTCGCTGCATTCATGTGCCAGATTCTCCAAGGCTTCCACTGCCATCCATTCATGCCATCCATTCATGCCATCCATCCATTCATGAAATCCATTCATGCCATCCATTCATGCCATCCATTCATGCCATCCATTCATGCCATCCATTCATGCCATCCATTCATGAAATCCATTCATGCCATTTACCCGCGCCATACCACCCCGGCAAGGCAGCATGCCATGCCACAGAACGGGTTGAAAATGTTTCAAGGTGGCAGGCGAGAGGAATAGGGTGAGGGTAGAGGGATGATTGAGGTGGGGATGGCAGGGACGGCTGCAAGCAGCAGAGATAAGTAGTTGCTGGTGCGGTGCGGATTCCATGTTGCATACTGAATAGGGTTACGGTCCTGGGGCGGTATGGCACATGGCACGGCCGCGTACTGTCAGGGACCTCTGGCTGTCATAAGGAGGATGTGGAGGGATAAACAGCATGCATCACGGCTTAAACAACTTACTCTCGGCTTAAACAACTTACTCTCGGCTTAAACAACTTTCTTCGGCTTAAACAACTTACTCTCGGCTTAAACAACTTACTTTCGGCTTAAAAAACTTACTTTCGGCGTCCACCACGGGAGCAGCGCGTGCGAAGAGCATGCAGCAGCGCGCCACCAACAGCGCAACCACCGCCGCTCTCGCCGCCATCATGACGCCGCCGCGCTTCCTCATCGCCGCGCCACACACCCTATGATAGTCGCCTGCAGTCGTCACTTGTGACCTCGTCGCCCGTGACCTTGTTACGCGTACACGACGTTGCTTTAACGCGGCTCTGCGCGCTCGTTGCCTGTGCGCGTTGCTCGTTTCTTATCTCTGTTGCTGGGAACTGTAGTTAGTAGTAGTACGCGGAATTCCAGTTTCGTGCATCTAGCTAGTAATGCTCGCTTCGACTTGGTCTTTGCAGGTACTCTCATGGAGCGTCGGCGCAAGTTAAGTGCACTATGATGGATGGAGAGATGACGCCGCAAGCATTACCGTACTAGCTTGTGCCGCGCTGCGTGAAATGGACAGTACGGGGTAAGGTTGGAAGGCATTAGTGGTGTGATGGTTGGATGACGAGGGTGTGATCTCAGTTCAGTGCCAGAGCCCAACACGCCAACAGCTTCGCCTCCCATCAAATGGCGCCGTTCTTCAACCTACGGAAAAGCCTTAAACAGATTCAGTATCGCTCTGTACCGCACAGTGGCGTCGGTGTGCTTTGATCGAGAAGGCTATCAAAGAATTCTACGACTTGGGCTGACCAGTGGTTGGTTGGGAGGGGAAGGCTAAGGTTTGGTAATGAACACTGCGTTACAGAAAATTGCCAAATGAAACAAGGCTAGTGTGATCTTGACTCTAACTAGGAAAGCGTCTCAATTTGGAGTGCATTGTGAGAGGTCTTGTACAGTAGAGGAAACAAGAATCAAAGGCCGCAATCACCACAACTATCCCACAATCAGTGCGACCCAACACATGCCCTTCCCCCATTGTACAAATTCTCGTTCTCGAGGTAAAGGCCCAACAACTGCCTAGAAAGATAATAGCTTTCTGCACACCCCACCACCTTCAGCGTCTGCAGGTTTGGCATCCGTCCAATTCCCACAGGTAGGAAGGCTATGCCCTTGCAATCCTCAATCACAAGACTCTTTAGCGATGAAAGAGCGCTGAACGAGTCTGGGAGAGACTGAAGACTGGAACACCGGCAAATGGTGAGTTCCTGAAGGCGTGGAAGCATGACCATGCTGGATGGGAGACGATCCAAAAGGCTGCATCTGCTGATTGTGATGCATTCAAGGGAACGGATTCTGCCAAGTGATGATGGTAGCTCCAGCAGTGCCGGGCAGTCTGAAATTTTCAACTCTTGCAGTGCTTCCAGCTGCCCGAACGAGTCCGGGAGACGCGCGACTTTTGCCACACTGCAGAGTTCAAAAAAATTCAGGCAGGACAGATGCCCGAAATTTTCGGGCAGGGACAGCAGGGTCGGGCAGCCAGTGATCGAAAGGTTGGTGAGGGAGGGGAGCAGGGGGAAGGAATCTGGGAGGCGGGAAAGCTCCTCACAGGCATTCAGCTCGAGCGTTTGCAGCGCAGGCAGGAATCCAAAATCGTCCGGGAGGGCTGACAAGGAGCACTGGCTTATCTCGATTGTTGTAAGCGTGTGGAGGGATGGAAGAGACGCAGGTAGGGAGTGGAGTGTGGTGCAGATGGTGAGGGCGAGGAGGGAGAGAGAGGTGGAGAGGGAGGAGTGGCCGAGTGATGCTGGGAGGAGAGAGAGTGCGGGGAGGATGAGATCGAGAGAAGTGAGGGAGAGGAGGGAGATGGAATCAGGGAGGAGGACCAGGCTACTGCTGCTCACGCCCAGATGGCTGAGCTTTGACAGCTGCCCGATACACTCGGGCAGAGAAACGAGAGAGTCGCAATCGACAAGCTCAAAAGATTCTAGGTCACGCAATCTGCCCAGGGTTGGAGGAAGGAATTGAAGGAGGGGAGTGTGGAGATTGAGGTGAGTGAGGGAGGAGAGGAGGCCAAAGGCAGGCGGTAGTTCCCGTAGATGATCCATGGATAGATGAAGAGTCTTCAGCTGCTGCAGATGCAGTAAGGGTGACGGGAGAGAGGTGACCCCAGCTGCTGTACCGTGCAAACGGAGCTGCTGCAAACGCGTACACGTGGAGAAAAGGGCTTCGAGACCCAGTGAGGAGTGAGAGAGAGAGGACCCGTGTCCTCCGGCCGTGAGGGAGAGAGACGATAACTGCGGACATGCCTTAGCGAGCCCTGCAAGAAAAGCGTCGGTGATCGAATCCACGCTGCGATTGGACAGATCGAGGGACGAGAGGTTCGGCATGCGCGATACTGCGCGGATCAGCTGCGCGCCGGAGATTCCCCGCCGCCGTGCCACGTGGACTGCACACTGCGAAACGCGCGCTAGCCGGAGCCATCGCGAGCAGACGAAGGCGTGCGAGAAGGAGACGCTAGAGGCAAGTCGCTGGAAGATTATAATGATAAGATCGTCAGTGAGAGTGTCAAATGGAGTCGTGTCAGTCGGAGTTGGAGATGGCTCCATCATGGCTATGGCGTCAGATTAACTTCGGAAGGGACAGCTGTGATAAGACCTGATCAAGGCTAGGCGACTCGAGGATCCATGAAGTACGAATGGAAGTCGATCGAGGTTCACTTTGCACGCACCAAGTGAGACGTGACATTTTCATATTTGGTCGTCGGAGGTGCAATGCCAAACCGAACCTCGTCCAATTGAATGGCGGGTGGATGCACGATGAAATTGGGATTGCATGCGCGCTAGGGTTTCCGTCCCCGTGCGTCGGGTGAGTCATTACGAGCCCCAACAACCCCGGCGCTGTGCGACGGATTGGTCAATACGTACCCAAAACCTGGTCGACTGCCAAGGATGCCTGTTTTTGCACTAACGTGAGCCAGGCCTGATCGAGTTTCCGCATGTTACCTTTGCGACGCGTGCGAAGACCAAAAGTTCGACTCTCTGCGCAAACCCGAACTATACAGTTCACGCGCCCGTACTGTTGTTGAGGACTACACCTTGTTTTATCGCCATGGTGAATTTCGCCATACTGAATTCGCTGTTACAAGAAACTCACCTTGTACAGAAGCGCGCTATCACCCGCGCAATAGTGAAATTTTGAACCAGCGCGATCCAGTGTGGTTTAGTACGCTTTCGAAAGGTCTCTAAACATTCTGGAATGGCTAGCTAGGGTATACGGAAGTATATCTTGAGAAACTCCCTCACACACCCGCGTGCTTGACTGGTCTCGGTCAGGCCTGTCGCTACAAGGGCATTTGTCTTTTTTACCCTTGAATTCAAGTGCTGGTTCAGGCCCAACTCAGAGAATTCAAGGGCTGGCTTTGAGGCCAGCCCGTTTTCCTTACGGGCTGGTTTAGCGCCTAACCCGGATTTCACGTATACAGTCAGAGCCCTCACCTACCACCCTACCACCTCGCTTCCCTTGGTATGTCTCCCCTGCTTACGTAGATTAAGGTTAAGGTTATATTAAGGTCGTAACCATGTACACCAAAGCATAGAGAAGCTAGAGATATGGTCTACACAAACCAAACGCCCAAAGGCGTACGTAAGAAACACGTTATCTCCATATCCTACGGATACCGCCAGCACGGTTGGGGAGCTCTCGATGCTAAAAAAAAAAAAAAGGAAGGCCTAAGGGGGGCAAAAGGGGTCATCGAGCAGCCAGGATGCGCGGAGGTCAGGGTGAATAGAAGGGGTGCCGTCATAGTCAAAAGCGAGGAAGCGAAATTGAGTGGCCGGCTTGATACGAGCGGCTAGGCGTCGTTGTTTTTTCACTGATTGTTTCTTCCGTCGCCAGAGAAAGATTTTGAACGCAATGAGGAACTGCGCCAGGATGAGTTGGAGAATCTCAAAGCGGGAGGAGGGTGAGTCGTGGAACTTGTGTTCACAGCGCGCGTTCCAAATGGCTTTTGCATATGCTCCAACCAAGAGGCTCCAGGGGACCATCTGGCAAGTTCTAGAGGCGAGTGGAAAGAGCAAGAGCTCAAGAGGAGGAGAGCAACGGAGGTGACGACGAGCGACGGAGGAGAGAGCAAAGATCACTACAGGGGCCACCCCGCACTCATAGAAGATGAAGGAGATAGTCTCTGTGTCCCCTGCTTACATAGAACCTCCATACCTTCTCCCAAGGTAGATCGGCTTATTGATCAACTTATTTGAGCATCGTCTAGTTTGACGATGTTTTTAAGCCCAAATGCAGAAGATGTGTAGCCCTGGAGTGTTGGAATATGACTCAACCCGGATAATAAGGGCTGAATTCAGGGCACCTCAGCCCGCTAAGTTATGGGCCCAGGGCAAGCTCGGAATTCCCCGAGCATCGCGAATATCGAGCCCAGGTCATGGCCACCATGGCGACGGAATCTCCTCACAAAAAATCGGAGAGGAACCCGAACTAGATTAGGCTGTCCTTGAGCAATCGAACTTACTGGTTTAAATCAAACTTGGGGTCCGCCATGTTAAGGGGGGGATTTACAATTCCCT